GTCGCACCCCAAAAAGGGATTTATTAGCGGTAAATGCTTTCTGCCTAATTCTTTTCAAGAATGAAATGTTTGAATTTATTGTGCAGGTTTTCTTTGCCATGCCGAGTTTCCTTTTTTGAAGAAGAACTGCACAATTTTTCAAATGCCCAGAAAAAGGCAAGCATGGAATTGCTTCCAATTAAGTTCTATTTAATGATCAGAGCATCAGTTTGATGAGACCTTCAGAATATGAAGTTGATGAGCCCGTAAATCTGATTGGTGCTTTGAAATTCCGCTACCAAGATAAGACCCCCGCAAATCATTGTATAGGCCAGATCTTTCTTTGTAGAGTCTTTGTAGAGTCCGCTCAGGTTCCCGCACACATCAGGGATATACTTTTAACGATGTCTGAGAAAAATATTGAGTGATCAGAATGAATTTGAAGGTAGATACTATGGAATTCGGGTCTTTTTTATGTAATTTGGGTTTGGCTTGTTATGGGTTCAAATTTCACGAGGAAACTTCTAGGGTGGCTTGCCATAGAGATCCAAATTCGAAATACGGCTTCAAGTTCACTTTTTCAAATTCAAGGGGAGAGAAAAGCTCCATTTGATTCTGAAGGCAATTTTCATTGTTCAGTTTGCTTGTCGCTGCCTTCACAATCTAAACATTTTTAGGAACATCATGAAAACTAATTAATTATTTTTTTATTCCAGACCCTCTCGCAAGATCATCAACAACAACCGTTACAAGTTACCCCTCCACTTCCAAACATACCACCGCCACCGACGGAACACGTACAGAAACATCAGGACTTGTTAAGATTTATAATGGAAAATCATCTGGAAACCTCGTGAGTTCTGAGCTTGAACTTTGCTTACATTAGTCGATTTTTGGCAAAATGGGTTGTGTTGCCATAATTTACAGCAGCATATTCACAATATTCACTTTTAAATGAACACTCTTAACATTGAGTTGACGTATCTCAAATGACCGTGAACATTCTCCGTGAAACAGTGCATTTTGAAGGGTGCTACCTAATCTGCCCTGTGCTCTATCACTGATAAAAGGATAAGGACTGGAAGGCCTCCAACGCTAGGGAAAATAGACCATTTGATAGCAGCTGAACGAATCCCTGAAACCAACTTTTTGAAAGGACCGGTGAGGTGTGGAAGTACTCCTGTGATGCTTCCGCATTTCTTGGAAAGATGTGAGGTTGCGATCCTGACAGGGATAGACTCTTTGCATGAGGTAAGGTCAGAGAGGGGGATGAAGCGCACTATTTCACCAATGTTTTGTGACTCTTAATGCATCAAGGAAATTTACTGCTTAGGGCTACGAGAAGACATGGGTAAGGTGGTTCCTCGCTTATTTCACCCATAATGCGAGTGTTTTTTCTTTTCTGAAACTACGGGTCTATTTTCTGACCGTGGAATCTTACATAATGGACATGACGCGTGGAGTAAAACATTTAGCCATCATGTTGAGGAAGCGCAATCAAGGTTTGGGAAATCGTAGTTACCGCAACGAATGTGGTGTGATATGCATATCACGTATCTGCGCAGAAGTAGGGTCTAATGTACAACGGCAAATACGAGTCCTGCAATACATCTAATTCTGTTTTTGGCTCAATAATGGGGTAAGTATTAGCAGTAAATGTCCGTTTGTAGCTGCTCGTAATGATTCTTGCCGCATCATCCTTGAATCTGTGATGTTAATCAACACTGCTTTCCAGAGGGAAAGGTGCCCACTCCGATTTAGGATACCTTGATGGCTCGAAACGTGTCATAGATAGTTTTGAAAAAGGCTCCAGGTTGCTGTTCACGCCAAACAGGTTATGCCAAAATTTTAGCAGGGTTGAGAGGAATCTGGACCAGCGATTGGGAAGGGCGTAGAAGTGTAAGCGATTCGAAGCAATCCTTTTAGTTACATTCTGTACTCGTAATTATTATTGACCATGAAAACGAACTTTTAGCGTCATTCCGGGTGGTCGAGAGTAAATGTGGCTTTTCGGAGGCTTTCTGGTCCCTGAACTCACAACACGTTTGCTCACCCAACCTGAGGGGCAGCGATGAAACGGTGGGCAATGGAAGGTAATCTGAAGCGTAAAGCCGATGAAGTTGGACTCCTTTGAAAAAATAATACAGAAATATTATCTCTTGATGGTATATCCAATTTTGGACGCTATCGCAATATACGGGGCATTACGGTGACGTATCTGAAACTACGTGGAACATTTCCTTTTAGTGGTATAGACGGGAATGAGTTTAGGCGGGGAGGAGAGACTCCGGGGTGCGTGAGCAAATCTTCATTATTCCCAAAGTTTCTGCCCCTACTAGGCTGTATCCTAAATCATGCCCCCGTATCCTGCGATAGCGCCCATTTTCGTTTAGCTCATCACTGTGAATTTTCTTTTGAAGTAGGCCAGCTCATTTCTATTATATTTTTAACACCCATCTCTTTTCAGAGACGTGTAAATGGAGGATTCCGTGCAACCTTCTCCCTCTGCTCAGTGACATGCCAAAGCGATAGTATTCATCACTATTTGTATGTATATTCATTGTTTCTTATTTGTTGCAATTCATAGAATTTGATATGACAAGCATTTTGCATTTGAATATTCATAATTTATCAATTGTGCCTTTCATTCTTTTCAGAACATGTGATTATTGTGCAATATTTCTAATTTTCATCGAATGAAACTCTTATAATGGTTGGACATGAAACAGTCTGTGTTTTTGAAGGCAAAGTTCGGGATTTCTAGTCGAAGTTTAACTTTCCCCATCAAATATGCACTGGCATGCAAGCGCGGAGCACATGTAGAAGTGGCGAAATGCTTTGACAAGGCTAAGGCGCTAACCAGGAAGGTCTTTCAGGGGTGCCGAAGCTTTTTGAAAACGGTCTTTTGCATGATATAGGGGCACATGCGGGAACCACAGAACCATGGTTAATTTTTCCTGAACGGCCCTCTGAATACCAGAAAAGGGGTCCCTAGTTCGATTCCTCGTGGTGACAAATTTTTGCATTTCGAGTTGACGTTCCAAAATTCGCGCAAAATGGAGTTATGAACTAACTCCATTTTGCGCGAATTTTGGAACGTCAACTCGAAATGCAAAAATTTGTCACCACGAGGAATCGAACTAGGGACCCCTTTTCTGGTATTCAGAGGGCCGTTCAGGAAAAATTAACCATGGTTCTGTGGTTCCCGCATGTGCCCCTATATCATGCAAAAGACCGTTTTGAAAAAGCTTGGCACGCCCTGAAAGACCTTCCTGTAAGAGCCAAGGACGGAGCATTGGACCATCTCAGATGGATAAACCTTCTTAAGGAGAAACATGCTTTAGTCACAAAGAGAAACTCACCTCAAACCCTATTGCTTTGATGTTAGCCATCTTCGTTGACGCGCTCTGGCCTCGTAACCCAGCGTCATTTTGTAAGATGAAATTGCGTTCACTTATTGCCTCAGCAATTCCTACAATATGTAAACAATAGTGACTCAATTCGAATGCAAAAATACTTTATTCATCTATTCCCACCTCTTCTTAATCTTTAAATAGAGGGCCGATATCCCTTCGTTTAATTAGACCACAAGAATTATTGTATAAACAGTCACATCCCGCTGCTAATCGCACTCCGAAGCACATCGCTTAAAAGCACTTTCACTTTACGCAATATGGTTCCAAAAAATGGAAATAGACGGGAAATTTAGTCAATAAGCAGTGAATATATTAGGTTGTCTCAAGAGTTCGCGCGTATTTTGTGAATATCCCATGCCACAAGCTCCTTTAATAATTCTAATCATGTTTAAGTAGGCTGTAAAAGGGCACTCCGTAGAGTAACTTATGGCCGAATCATGCCCACCCTATTCGCTTCTTCGACTTCGAAGTGAGAAAAGAAAGTAGCCATGATTTTCATACTATGGCTCAAGAACTGCTACTAAGCCACAAACCGGAAGTAACATCTGCTTTACGATACATCTTCTTATTGTTGTTAGCATCGTATCAGGAATATATTGATCTCCGCCGCTCTATAGCCTGAGGTGTCCCCCAAGAGGTCCGTCGCGCGACGAAGAAGAGCAGACGCAGACGCGGCAAAGACGAGTAGCAGCGCGTGCTGTGCGATATGAGACGTAGTATGGTACACTCGACTCAAACTGACGCCTAACCACTACAGTATGCGCTGCGATTCGTCCATTGCCGCGTCTGCGTCTGCTTCCTTCGCCGCGCGACGGGCCTCTTGGGGGACCTCTACAGCCAGGAGAAGAACCCCGTTCAAGAAAGCCATCGGTGTCCGATTTAGACTGGCTGTCAGACGTATAACTGTTTACGTGGTCACTTTGTTGTTCACAAGGGAGGTCTTCAGGGCAAGGTGCGCTTTTTCACGGTTTTTGCATATTGTAGGGACGCATGTAGGGAACGCAAAACCATGTTTCATTTTCGCTGAACGGTTATAGCAGTACCAAAAAAGAAGCATAAGGTACTGTTAATGGTTCGATCCCCGTGGCGACTAAATTTTGCATTTGGGTTGGCGCCTATGGGTTGGTGCCAAATCGCGCTAAATATCAAAATCATGTCAAGGCTTCATCGACAGGACCTTTGAAGCCACAAAGGATCGCAGCAACTGATTGCAAAATTGATTACGCCGCGGGGGCATCGAACCATCGAGGCCAACCATTACCCCCATATGTTTTTGATACTACTAAAAAACGGAACATGTTTATGGTCATACTACTCCTACAATATGCAATGAACCGTTTCCAAAAAGCCCATCTTGCTCTGAAAGACTTCCCTTGTCAGATGCACACCCTCGTAGCGGTTCTCTCTTCTTCGTAAAAGGGCTGAAGCTTTGCCAAAGATTCCCTGAATTCCATAAATTCCACTGATGACAGGAGTGCGAGTTCCGACTATAATTTGTTTCCTACTCCACCTGCACTCACTGATTGAACAAAGCCACTACTGCTGTTGACACTCAGAAGCCGCAGTGGTTGGATCGAGCGAAAGAAAGTGGAAACTGGGCACATTCATCGCAAGATAATGCTCTACCTTTGTTGGAACGTTTTCGTGTTAACCACTTGCTCCCCCTCGTGAAGTCAGTCAAAACTAGTGTGACTAACGGCGCAGGATCACGGCGAAACCCCAGCAACCGTCTTCAAAACTCAAAAAAAGTATGTCCGCTCCACGTCAATCGGGATCACACGTTTCAACTGACGCAAAATCTAAGACATCAAGATTTGCAAAAAAAATTACCTATCATGTATCCAAACGTCAGAGCGGTGATCAGCGGTTCTTTAGAAAGAGTCTGCTCTTCCTGCTCAGAAATGATTTCGCGGACAAAAAATACGATTCCCATGGGTATCTCAAAATCGACCTCACAGCCTTTTCAGATCGTAACTTCTAGCCTTATGAGAGTCACGTGGCCACTCTTCGATTAATGATTGGTAAGAAGTCACTGATAATGATGGTACACATACTTATGATAGATAGTGCATGTGCTTGAAATAGAACAGGTTCAAAGAAATGTTCAAAATACGCACGAGGTTTCGAGACGACCTAATAGCTTCGAAACCCGTGAAAAAAGGCTTTTAATGAACCATTGACTTTCGAAATATGAGTTTAGTACGAAAAAAAATAGTTATAGGGTGAGGCTGGCAAGTATTTGCGATTTTGAAAGGTTTGGTCGTATCAGGAGTTGACCGAGACAGGTATCTCTTTGGAAAGTGTGGACAGGGAGTCGTATCAGAGGAAGTTGAGTGGATCGCAGTTCTAGAGAAAATCGTATCGCGGTCTTATTTTCTGAAAAATGACGGAAAACGTCGAATAGTGAAGCACAAAATATGGATGCGAATTCGAAAAAAATTCTGCAGTTTTCATGGACTATACATATTTTGCTCGCAGTTGGCAGCGTAATGGACGGAGTTGATTCGTTTTATGGTTGACATCGAATGCTATAGAAGCATCTGTGTGGGGTGATGGAGAGGTCAGGTATGTTGTTGGAAGGGGGGGGGGTGGTTTAGGGAGATTCTCATGAAGACTCTCCCAGACCAATTATGAAGGAGGGTCGGGGCCCATTTTAGTCGCGACTCTTTACCCACCCTCAAAGGCAAGGTACACACTTTCCTTGTTGTACTCACCGATACTGGTGAAATTCTCCAAATTTCTTGCCCCCTTGTGATTGATTATGTGCACAACTCATTTGCCACGTGCTAACTTTAGTCAATGGGCGAAGTCCCGGGTACTGGGGGGAGTCAGTCGTAAGTCTTTGGAATATGGCGCTGGCTTTGCAAATTTTTGTCGCGAATCTAGCAATGGGTGATTTCACTTCCAAACCATTCCCCTTTATAGCGCAAGGTTTTACGGAACAGATAGCCACAGATTGTACCTTATAGGAGAAGTCACCAACCTTAGCCTAGCAACGCGTACGATCCTCAGAGTGTGCGAGATCTGAAAATAATCGAGCATCCATCCTACATAGAATCGTGTCCAAAAAATAGAAGCCATGAGAAGATTTCCTAAATGAACGGTGGATGTGACAAACCATCACATCCATGACAAACATGCCAATTCCATACAGTGCCCCTTCAGGTCAATTTCAAATGATCATGGCCAATAGTTGCGCTAGGTTCCGTGTGAGCAACTCTAGTTTGATTAAATTATGATGTTAATAATTAATTGGAAGCTTACAGTGCATATTTCTGCATAGTAATATTCGCTAAGCTAAAGGTAAGCTCGCTATTCGCACAGCTAACGTGATGACGATTTCTGCTAACCACGACACCGATGAGCACTGGGAGGAAACTTCGGCGGAAAGCAATCAATGAAAACATTCAAGGAAAGAACACTGGTCTGATCGTAAGTCCTCCACAAATCGCTAGCTTGAGAGTCGCGACCCACTGAAGAATGAGAAGAACGAAAAAACTCGATTTATTTTGGCAAACAACTCGGAAAACAACTTCATTTGGTCATCGGAGTGCCATCAATAGCAGTTCTTTGTGGCCTTTTAATTTACAAAAAACATTTCACCCTAACACAGAACCCTATCCTACCAATCGTTTTGTCTGTCTCCCCCAGATTCAGCAGTTTCAATTCGACTTGTTTTTGATTGTTAACTGCTGTGTTTGCCCGCAGTTCGCCTTGCGAATGTTCACAAGAATGCTGGGTTGTGAACAAAACCCCCAGGCGGGACTAGAACCCGCACCTCTCGCTTTCCGGGCAAGTGCGCTACCAGTTACGCTACCGGGGCACCATTTCATTCCAACTCAGCTTTTCATGGTATACGTACCATAGCTTTCAGCACTCACACGTCTAACGTGTTGAGCCGATATCGGCAATGACCGGCGTGGCTGACAGCTTCAGCTTTGATTTTGACTTGTTTTGCGGTTGAGAAAATTCATGACGGTCTCAAAACTGTACATTGCTCATGTCTCAACCTAATATTTTCTTACAAATAATATCGTCTGCGCGCGCTCTTTTTGTGAAAATATGAAGGTAAAGGTCGCACAATGCTCAGAACCATACGGATTTCAGTGGTCGTATTTAACAAAACTCCGAAGAGCAGAAAATGGTCACTCCTGCTTTTGCTTATATTGAAAAGGCACTCGTTACAATAATTCGTGCTGACTGCAGTAATCACAATTTTTGCAAAGGAATAGCTATCGAATGGCTGAACCATGCTGTGCCAAATGGAGTACCAATGCAGAATCACTGAACCCTCCTGTAATCCTTCCATACACTAATGATGATAGAACAGTTGTCATGATTTTGTGAAACTGCGCAAGTTCTCATGATGACATGAATTTTGTGATTGCGCAAGTTCTCATGATTTTGTGATTTTGTGTACATCCGTCTCTGCACCAAGATCTCCTTCCCGCCTGCATTTACAGCTCAGAGCCCTCCAAATGTTCTAAAAAAGCTTTACCATACCCGTTTCATCGAGTCCCGCCAGTCTCTGAAAATTCAACGGTCTATTTCAACCTGCTCATTTCATCCGTCAACCAGCGATGGGTTTCGTAAACGTTCACATCAATTGCATGGGTAAGATAACGAGCCTTTACCCGAACTCCAGAAGTCTCAAAAGCTCCACGCTCTCAACTACGTAGAAGGATTTCTCTACAAATAATTAACCAACAAGGACTTGATGGACAGCATTATCGCCTTTTACAGATTTTAATCTTCAAATGATTTACAAAGGTGGGATAACTCCTATGGGTGTAGCACGGCTATTTCCTTTTTTAAGGTGAGCCTCGCTATAATATAGGCATTTCGCCTTATGTCGCCATCACCTCCTTCTATATCAATTCTCAGCATTTTTAAACCGTACTATTGGATGAGGCACCGAAAAGTGCATCATTTTAAATTTAAATGAAGACCGTCGTTAAAACGTTTGATAAATACTTGGCCCAAACATGTCCCGAAGGTTCTAAATTGTAAACATCGAATAGGTGAAATGACCGATTAATTAAACGAAACTGCACACTTCAATTTACAATACATGCAACCATCAGCATCACCAATTTTCTAGAACGCCCGTGGGTGATACCTCGACATCCAACATTGGAAAACAATTACTGATCAAGCAAAAGAGAGAAACTGCCAGAACAGGCGTATGAAGTATTTTAGTAGGTAATTGCAGGAGTGGAGAGAAATGAAAATAAATAAGTTATATGTTGTATATTGACAATGATTGCAAAGAAATTTAACTATAGAGGTCATCATCGTCATTTCCTCCAACTGGGACACCTGATGGCTGGTTAGGAGCCGACGGCTGCTCGCCAGGGAACTTGAAATTATTGCCGAAACCTCGCTGTTGCTGTAAGGTTTGTGCGAACATCTCGTACCTGTAATCAACGAGCAATAATGTGCAAACGCTTCCCTGAAGGACGAAAAAATTCAATAGATCGCAAATAAGGAAGTGGATCGGTGTAACCATCAACGAGAAAAAACAGGGAATACGAACACCACTATAGAAAACTCACTTTCGGATGTCGTTGTCCGAAACGGATCGCCTGGCGAATTTCATGGCCTCTTCGAAGTGTGCGCGAGTAATTTCGGGGACTGGATCGTAAGCTTCATCATCCATGAGCTCTTCTCCACGTTGTCTGCGTTCTTGTCTGTCCTTCTCGATGCGAATTTCTTTTTCGATTGATTCACGAATTGCAAGTTTGCATGCGCTGAAACCGAACACAATATGTAGGTCAAGGCTAAATTTCTTCAGTGGCAATATGTGCATAAAGGATATGAAAGTTTCTGTCGTGTAAACCACATGACCAAGCTTCTTATAGTGATGGACTAGCATTCCATGGGAAGCATAGTATTGGTGGCTTATTCAGGATAGTATAGCACAAGTATGACACTCAGCAAGTTATTATTCTCTATCACGCGTCACCAAGCAACAGAACGTTGAGTGGATAAGCGGGATTGAGAAAAACGCTGCCAAGTTCTTAAATTGTGCACAAAATACCAAAACAAAAAATATCCTACCGCTGACAGATCTCTGTGAGATCAGCTCCAGAGAATCCCACGGTACTCTTTGACAAGAAAGTCATGTCAACGTCTTTGGCCACAGGAGTTTTACGAAGATTAGCCTAAACATTATTTTATTTTTCCACAAAAACCAAAATGTACCTGAAACAATACCTTGAAAATTTGAAGCCGAGAAGCCTCATCTGGAAGTGGGATATAGATCAACTGGTCGAGACGTCCAGGACGAAGAATGGCCGAGTCAATGATATCCGGCCTTAGAAAAGAAAATCGTGAAGGAGAAAAAGTGATGGTTTCAAAAATGCTACCTGTTTGTCGCTCCAATAATGAAGACGTTCTTCTTCGAATTCATTCCATCCATTTCTGTGAGGATCTGATTAATAACGCGATCGGCAGCTCCACCAGCATCGCCAGCAGTTCCTGAAACGTTCAAATAAGTGATAAACTCCCAGGCCCTGTCAGGCAACAACAAGGTATCAAGTTCACACAAAATAGCAACAAGTAGAACGGATCATCAGAATGCAAGCACAGAATATGACTGACGCAATAGTTTGGTGCTCTTTATCTTGTGGTCAAGGAACGGCCAGGATCAAACTAGTGGGGTTCTCGCGCACAAAAATGAACGCATTGAGGAGAAGTGGTAACGGTAACAAAAAGGGATAGCGTTGAAAACGTTCAAGGGGCTGCTGAGTTACTCGGTTCTGTAGACAAATTAAACGAGAGACTGAGCACAAAGAGAAGATATCAAGAAAGCAAACCTATTTCTTGAAAAGTCCTTATTACAAGATATGTAAGTGGCCGAGGAACCCCACGGCGTACGGTAATATCTGGTACTGACGATTTGTTTCGAACGAGGTTGCTGTGCGAAACGTTCGTGCGAGTCTCTGGGTTTAATTCTATGCGGCGAGAAATCGGTTAAGAGTCGTGTTTTAGAGATAAAATATCTCCGTAATCGACAACACCTCCACGAGCTTTCGCAATGGAATCAACTCGTCGCGAATAGCACGCATGAGGTCGGCAGTCGAGTTTATTCAAAACAACGCTCGCGGACATTAGCCTCTGATTCTCCAAACCACATCGTCAAAAGTTCAGGTCCCTAAACTTACATATGTTAATTGCAGAATTTTCAGATACAAAATACAATATTAATATGAAACCTTGATAGATATGAAGTTGGCCTGGCATTCATGGGCAATGGCCTTGGCCAGTAAAGTCTTTCCACAACCGGGTGGTCCGTAGAAAAGCACACCACGTGAAGGCTGCATTCCGAACTTCAGATACTTTTCAGGGTGCTCGACTGGGTATTGCACCAGCTCTTGGAGTTCACGCTTGACATTTGAAGACCTAAAATTTATTTTGTCCGAAAATTGCTTTCGTAACACAGCATGTAGATAGAGACACATTTCCGAATTCATCAAACCTAGATTTCTCTACGTTTTTTCTGGATTGGCATGCGGATTACCATATTAGTCTTTTTCTACGCGTCAAATGCCAACCCATAACTAAGTGGCGTTGAGAGAGCACCGGACAGAATCATCTCTTTGGCTAGCCCCTTCAAAAGCAGAACTACGAAGATTGCAAGATGTGTGGCTCGCACGAGGTTACTGTTTTTGGTTTTTTTTTGAATAATTTGACTCCTTTACACACCAGCTGGCATTAGCTTGCACTTTACGTATCAAAATGTGAAAGGTGTGATGCGATCATGAGAAATGAGCGCAAGTAGTGAGCTGCATCACCCCTCATACCATGTCAACCGGTGATTTGTCCAATAATACCAAAAAGGACAGACGTGAAGAAACAAAGGCAGCCATGAAATGGTATCAAAAGTGAAACGTAAGAGATAAAACCATTCAAATTAAACGCAGCAATCCGTCGCACTTCTAAGCAAACGCCATTCCAATTGGGAGCAGTATATTATTTTTCATATATATTCTATTAGTGTTCACAATAAAAAGTGCGAAATATGTGAGCAATCCACGCTCAAATATGACCAGTCTTCAATGACCTCACAACATACCTCCGATGTCGTCCCAGGTGATGTTTGGAGTCTCTACAACTGTCTCACGCAGTGCTGACGGCGAAGATTTGCCCATTGCAAACTAAAAAATGTGTGTTTAAAAAACAATCGAAGAACCATGAACCATGGCGTGCACATACCCTGAAGTTTTCCATCGATACTGCCAGCGAATTGAGCACTTCGGCGTCGATAGTATCGTCTTCAAGATCAATGAGATCCATTTTCTCTCGAATCTGTTGCAATGCAGCCTCGGAGCACAGCGATGCAAGATCAGCACCAACGTATCCGTGCACTCGTTTTGCGAATCTGAGCGCTACTCAAAATAATGGTCCTAATAGCTATAAGTTGTGGCGAACACTGCAACTACAGTGTTAGTGTTTTGTTTTGGTAGCCAACGCTAAATAATAGAGTATGGAAAGGAACGACCTCTCCTAACCTCACCGCGACCAAGTAATCTACACCACCTGATTGAACCTTCCAATTTGAAAAAAAAAATGTTCTGTTGACTGCAAATTCATTATTTTCTAACGGCAGCGTCGCATGAGACTGAACACACCCTACTCAAAATCGTATTCACGTAAGTTTCACTATTCTTCGTATGTATACAGAAAAGGTACCTCAAGACGTCCAACCGCGTCACAGGAAATACGATATCAATTTCCCTGGAAGAGATTTTCGTTAGCGCAGAACTTGCAGCTCATATAAATACGAGAGTCAGTTCAAACCTGTCAAAGCGAGCCGAAGCGTCTCAATGCAGCATCAATGGAGTATGGGCCTGTTTGTGGCCGCAATAACCACAAACGTGAGATCTCTGCTTTAGGCCATCCATGAGAGTGAGTAATTGTGAAACAATTGCGACGCGCTCACGCTTCCATGTGTCGAAATGTAATACTTCTGTGTTTTTGCGAGGAACATTTAAATGAAAGGCGGTTATGCTCCCAATACCTTCTTCACGCTTTGAGCGAATGCATCGATTCAGTCAAGTGAAAAGATTGCGCGGCCGCGAATTTTTTCTCGCATTCCATCGAAAAGCCTTACGTCAGATTTTGACACTGATTCACAGCAGTTTCGACATAATCTCGGCGCCAGTGAAACACTTGTAGCTCACACCTGTCCTCGAAATCAATGACCTTCATGGTCACTTACCATGAGCAGGAAGAAGAACGCTCCAGTCTCGTTGGCAACTGCTCTAGCTATGAGGGTTTTACCCGTTCCCGGGGGACCAAAGAGTAGAATTCCACGAGGCGGCTTGATTCCAATTGCTTTGAATAGCTGAGGATGACGAAGCGGAAGTTCAACCATTTCTTTGATCTGTGCGAGTTGCTTGCGAACCTGAATAAAAATATTCGCCTAAGAAACAATGAATAATAACCAACAAGCCGTAAATTTATTTCTGAACTAACACCAGCGAGAGGTCGTCATATCCAACGTCTCATATTCTGCTCATCCTCCTTCCTCACGCCTGATAGACTTCTTCCCTTAAACGGTAGTGGATAACAGTATCAGGAGCGACAATGCATGATGGAGATGGATCAGTTTCCACAACCTAAATACATGAAAAATAAAAAACTAAAAGTTGCAAAGATATCAAATAAAGCCATGAAATTTCTCATACCTTGAACTCAACAGTGCGCATTAGCAGCTGGAAATGCTGAAGCCTGTGAAGATATCACCTTTCATGAAAGGCCATGTACGGCTCAACAAAATACCGCTTCAAGTGAAGACTCGACAGAGTAAAATACGGCTTGAGGAAGACTTCGAAGAGGTTTCTAAAAATAGGAATATAAACTATTAACAGAGAATGGGAGCTAATTCAATCTACCCTGTAAGTCCTTCAACAGTGTCATCGATCGGAAGGACATGCACTCGTCGGCCATACCCAATGTTTGGAGCTGCTGTTACGCTAAAGAAAAGTCCTTATCATGATAGCCTGACCAGGTACACCAAGCCTATTTCGCAATCACAATTTCGCAACAACAATTACCTCACGACATCTCCAAGACGTACGCGTAGATTATGACGAACCACACGATTCATTCTGATTTTGTCGTTAGAACAGTTATCATCAGCAAGGACGATGGCAACAGTCTCCTTTCGCTTTTTTCCCTGCAAACGCTTGCTGCATTAACATCTGTCACAATTCATTTTAAGCTGCAAATTTGGAGGAAAAAATGCGGTGAAACGTAGCTCGAAGCTTACGAAGAAGTCCATTTGAATTTCAATTTATAAAGGGGCGGCTTTAGGCGCATCAGTTTGTGCCGTCTACAATAAGCTCGATTTTTGCAGGTGAAGATGGTCCGATGTGTGCAAACCACTTCACTTATGCAAAAAGGGAACTGGGTGAGTACTACATTTCCTAAAGCCTTAACAAAAGAGAATATCTGTCGACTTTTCAAAAGCTTAAGCGCCTGCACCAAAATGCACCCTACCTCACTCAGAAAAACTTATCCCAGGTCCTCTCTTACTGATGCATTTTCTGAATCGCACCTCTGCCACTTGACGTCAACCCCACCACAGTAAAAAGCAACGACGAAAAGGTCAGAAAACCAACCTTGAGCACAACGGTGTCTCCTCGGAACAGTGCGAGCTCGTCCATCTTCGCTTGGCTGAGAGCAATGATAGAGTTGTCATCCTTGTCACTTTGATCAACAATAAGCCGATTCGGTTTCACTTTATCCTTCAGAATTGCTGTGGCCAGAGCCTCATTTTTCTTCTCCTTCTCGTCCTTGGCACTTGAATCACAAATTACTCAACTGAGCTGCTACCAACGCATAAATGAACACCAACACTGCTAATTAAACATCAACGAAAAGAACTCACGTCGGTACTGAAGCCATAATGCGAACAGCTGCTTATCGGAATCCCAGAGATGAACCTCAACAAAGCTGATCGTGCTGACGATTTCTTTCAAATGATGACATTCAACTGGGAATCATACACGCCGCAAAAGTGTACGGCATACTACGGTATTTCATAAGATTAGAGCAGCAAGATAGCGATAGCGCGCGTAATTCGATTCCAACAGTGTTGTCATGTAGTGGCTACTATTGTTCAAGCGATTTTAGGCTTTGCGAGCCATTCTGTGGGCTAACTGAACTATGGTGGAGGGGAGGGGATTTGGTGCAATACTTCATGGCCAATATCCCTTTTCGCTTCGCAGGGAAGCAAGATCCCCTCTTCAAAATTTTACGTAA